TCATCACCAAACGATCGCCTAAATATCGGGCTATAATATGGCTAATTAAATGATTGGAATAAATTAATTTGACACTAGAGGTAAACGTTAGGCGCCATCTCTTAATTAAATTAATAATTAAAATTAAATAAATAAATCAATAAATAAATTTAGAACCTTCTGGAATAAAAGAACTGGCCCGGGGCGGGACTCGAACCCGCAGCCTCCGCTTGCCGTGCGGCGCGCTTACCAGTTACGCTACCCAGACCCTCGAGCTAGTCTTCGCTTCCAGAAGTATATTAGATTTAGATATAACCTTACTTGGTCAAATACATTACTGACTGGGGACGACTCCTTCGCCCACGGCCATAACGGCACTCAGCCAGCTAACGCAACACCCGGCGAGGTATATATATATATAAATAACATCACTCTTAACTCTTAAATAAATTAATAATTTTAATTATTAATTTATTTAAGAGATGGCGCCTAACGTCTACCTCAAGTGTCAAATTACTTTATTCCAATCATTTAATTAGCCGTATTATAGCCCGATATTTAGGCGATCGTTTGGTGATGTATAATTTCATTTGTATAAATATCATCTGTTTTACAATTACACACACTTTTATTGAAAAAACATTTTAAATATACAATATGTTATCAATTGAGCCATTCACAAGCCAAATCATTTGTAAATCCTTGATATAATCTTTATTATTCTTACATTTTTTGCTTAACTAATTTTATATATCGTTACATTAAAGCTATGCTTTAACATAACACAGTATATAAAGAGACATTCTACGATGTTTATTTAAATTTAAAGTTTAAAAGGAAGTTTTTTAAATAATTTATATTATCAACATTTTATGGAGTTAATTGATTTGGCAAGTGAGTGAGCAGCTCAATTATCCCTGAACAGATTATCATGCATACTTACATCTCAATAATAATAATATTTTATCAGCCAATATATCAGTTAATATTTATATTCCTACATGAGGAATATAAATATTAGCATTAAAATAAAATTCTGCTTTGTTAACTCTTGCTATTTAAAATGGCAATAACAAGACATAAATTAAATGGCTTGAAAAGTATAATAAATGCAGTTTTGATTCTTGAACAATATAGCTTTACTTATGTGTATATTGTATTTTTTTTATTAAATAACTTGTAAAATTGTTAGAAAAAAATATTTTGAATCATTTCTTTATCAATAAATCATTAATATCACAAAATTATTGATGCTTTACAATGATATCTAGCTGACAACTTTCATTCTTGGTTAATAATACAAGAAATTCATAGTGAACTGCAAGGTACTAGTTCAAAAAATTTTTCTGAATTTTCTGTTTATGTCAAAGTTTTGTTCAATTCTGATCACATTTAAAGCTTATTAATTAATTATCATTCTCAAAATGCATTTTATTCATAATATATAAATTATTATATTAAATTTAACATGAAATTAAAAACCAAATAAAATAAAAATTGATTAGCTTTCATTAAAGCAAACTTGCAGATTATTTGCGTTTCTGCATTTTCTATGTTTCCATTATCAGTGATTAGTCCAGATAATTGATAGTATATTGTGCAACATCAATTTCTTTACTAAAATAAAATTATACTACTCCATAATCACATACACTGAACCAAATTTACGGTGTGGTACGATAAACGACGAAAAATAATGAAAAAC